TGTAGGAGAAAAAATCAGAAAATACATCTAAAAAAATTATTTTCTTATGATACATTAGGACCTTCAACCTAGTTAGGACCCTTGTGTTTCTTCACAGCACTTCTCAGTGTGATATTGTTACAGCTACAATATGTTGGGAGCAGCAGAAGCTAGAAAGTCATTATGAGTGCAGGAAGCCAGCTGGAGAACACAGGGGCTCTTCCAAGCGTGGAAACAAGCCTTTAGAGCTTGTTAACTGACTACTGGGTAGAGAGGTTGAAGTTGACGTCAACCTCTTGAGGGTGTAAATAAACACTACAGTTCTTGGGCAGGTTCTTCTCCTAGGTTTAAGAGAGAGAGCCTCCACCTGACCCAGCTATTGTCTCTCTGTCTATCTTTTCTTCATTCTTGCCTCTGCTCCTTCCCAGGGTTCACTGAGAGTCCAACAGACCCTACAACAATACAACATAAGTTCCACGAGGACAGAGAATTTGTATAATGTTCACCACCATATCCATGATTTAAAGTTGGCACCCAGTGAGTACGCATGGAAAACTAAATATGTGACCAAAGCAAATAAATAACCAGGATGCATACAATTAAAAAAAAAAAAAAAAAGCATGGTGATGGGATGGAATACGAGGAGTGGTAAGGAGCCAATTTTGATAGGATGATCTGGGAAGTCTTTCAAAGGCAGGAACATTTGAGCAGGAATCTGAACAAAGGGAAACAAGGATCACAAAGGGCTTGAGGGAAGGTTGCTACAGACATAGGAAACAGGGGGTGCAAAGCCTCCCAGGTGGGAGCAAGGTGGATATGGGTCGGAACCAGCAGTGAGTGGTGTGGCTGAAGCAGGGAGGATGGGAAGGGATAGTAGGAGAAGCTAGGAAGGAGGCAGGAGTGAAGACCAAGCTTGGGATTTTGTTCTCCGTGTAAAGTAAGCACCTGGGGAAACAGTGACAGCCCAATGTAATGTTCTAGGTTGGTTGTTTGTTTTTAGTTTACTTGGGCTGTTGGGTTGAAAATAAAAGGAAGAAGGATGTTTAGAAACTAATCAGGGCAATTCAGCGGAAAGATAAGAGTGGCTCAGGGAGGATTTAGCCTTTGAGAGAATGAGAAGATTCAGCTGTTATTTTGCAGTTGAAGCAGAGGGGATTTCTGACACATTTAGTGCAGAGCTGGGAAGCAGAAGCCAAGGCTGACTGTAGCTATTTCTGAAATACATCTGGTACCCTAGAAAGGTTTGATAGCTCTCCGAGAAAAACTTTACAGTTTTAGAGGTACGTATTCCTCCAATCATGACTCAACGTCTAAAAGACTTCCGAAAACAAACATAATATGAAATTTTATTCAAATCCTTGCTCTGGGACTCATTCAGAAGAGAGGAGAAAATCCTAAATAGCTTATGTCAGAAACAATCGCAGCTCTATCATCGCTTAAGTACTCAATGTTGGTATCAGTATTTGGAAATCAGACCCAGAAGTATCAACTCCGTGTTGCCAAAGTGAGCCCCAAGAGGGCCCACAAGGCTAGACCTATGCTCATGTCTCCCCACCAGGCTTGACTTAATCCTGCGAGTACTGGGCAACACAATGGGGAGTGACCTGTGGAATAAACTCCTGGCTCCTCCTTCTATAGAGAAGGCAAAGTTTAGACAGCTCACCTCTGCTGTGTGGCTACTGACTTTGGCCTTCTATGAGAAGACTTATGCAATTCCTTAAAGCCCCATTCCCCAAAGTACAGTTTTTCAATGCAGGTATTGTTTCTCCATTTTTCTACATAGAACTAGGCCAACTTTTGTCTTTACTTCTACTGTCTTATCTCTTTACCACTGTGCATATTTATTTACTTATTTATTTTGTGGTACCAGGGATAGAACTCAGGACCTTGTGCTTGCCAGGCAAGCACTTATTCCACTGAGTTATCTCCCTGGCACCCCACTGTGCATATTTAATAGAGATACAGCTTTCCCATTTGTGTGCTTCAATATGTTGCCTGTTTTCAGCTGTGAGATTTATCTATCAGTACTAAATTCCGCTCAACTGAAAGACTCTTCAGTCAGCTTCCCTGTTTCTTAACTGTGTTGTTCACAGGAAAACTAAAGAATCCTTTCCTAATACCCTTCATCTACAACTAGCAAGTGTATCTGCCACAAAATGGCTGCGTGAATTTCTGCTCAGCAGCACTACACTCTTAATTTTTCTGCAGCCTGATAAAAATACAAATGGGTTTCTGTCAATGCCCTGCTTTTTTCCCTTCAGAATTGCATGCTAAATCACCATAATCAACCTATATAGGCAACATAACAGAGGGCCTTGAGATCAGACCTGCCTCGACCTACTTATAAAATGCTTCTTGCTGTCTCTTTGATTCAGTTTTCTCACCTGTGAAATGCAGACACATGTAAACCAGTTTTCTAGCACTATAACAGATACCTGGGATGATCATCTTTTTGGCTCTCAGCTTTGGAGCTTTTGGTTCATGTTCAGTTGGCTCCGTTGTATTGAGCCTATGGCACCACAGAACGTGACTGTACAGAGAAGATAGCAGAGAAAAGCTGCTCTCCTCAGGTCTGGGATGTTAAAGAAAAAGGCAATAGAAGAGGCTAGGGTCTCACTGTGCCCTTCAGGGGCACACCCTCATTGATGACTGTGACAACTTATATCTAGAAGTCCCCCCAAAGCTTCACGCAGTCATATGTGGAGCTTTCCAGAGGTGCTGAATCTAGGGTGTGTGGTGCTGGGGTTAAGGGTGTGTGATTAATAAATTAGTCCATTGATTTGTTTGACACGGTCTTGGTTGTAGATAATAGGAAGACCCAAACTGGGTATGAGTGCTACCCACACTAAGGTCATGTAGCCTGGGTAGAATGTTAAGGAGGTAAAGAGGGATGCTGTCACTTATTTTGCACTCCTTTGTTTTTCTGCCTTCTTCCTGCCATGAAGCATTCTTCCTCTGTGATGCCCCTCTGCCATGCTACTCTGCCTTGAAGCCAGACAACTGTGAACTGAGACTTGTGTGAACGGTGAGCTACAATAAGCCTTTCCTTTTTAAGCCGTGGGATTGGATATTTTGACTCAGCAATGAGAAAAGTACCTAAGATAGCAGTCTCCCACTAGACCTCAATTCCTGAAGGCTCCACTACATCCCAATAGCATCATCACTTGGGCCTTTCAGGAGGATTCCAGACCAAAACTTTATCAGTGTGCTCCAGATGGCTACCTCATCTCCCACAATCAAGCATCTAAAGTCATGAGAATGATTGTGAGATGATGATGCCATTAATGACATTAAGGAAGGCCTGGAGAGATAGCTTAGCAGTCTAAGCCCCTGCCTGGCAAGCGCAAGGACCAGGGTTCAATCCCCAGTGCTATACATCTGTAATCCCAGTGCTGGGGAGGCTGAGACAGGAGAATCACTATGAGTCTGAGCTACATGACAAGACCCTGTACCAAATAAATAAATAAATCATATAAATAATAATATTAAAGAAGAAAATCACCAAACCACAGACTTATGATGCACATATGTTTATTCAATTAAATAAACATTATAACTCCATAATTATTGTCATAAATATTAACATTAGTCTTATACTCAAATATCAATATCAAATGTCTCTATAAATAAATTCATATTAATAAGGTGACATAAATAAAATGCATACTTATAATAATAAATAAATTTATAAATATAAAATATTGATAATCAAAATGAAGTCATTTAGAATTTTTCTAAAGAAATGAGAAATAATCTTTTGTGGAAATAGACAATTACTTAAAAATAAACTATTTTCTGTTGTATCAAACACCAGTTACAGTAAAATGTTATCAGTAAATCTCTAAGCTTAGAAGATTTATCTTCTGGTATTATGAACAAAGCAAAAATATTTTTAATATGAAATTTACCCATGAATTGGGGTTGCCTTCGTATTTTCCTTTTAGTAAAAAAATTCCTTTAAGAATCTTATTATCATTTTTAACAGGCAAAAAGGGTTTATTCATTTTCTAGCTTCACTCTAGCGGACGCAGGAATTTTTCAGGGCCATGAACAGCAAATCCACCTCGCTGATTGCTTTGATCTCTCCACTCTCTCCAAGCTGTGAAAACAAGAACACAAGTATATCTGAGCCTTTGTGCTCTGTCTTCTATAAAGGAACAAGTTAGAGGAAGACAGCATGATTAAATTGCTGAAGACAGAAACCAACGGTCAGCCTTTCACAAGCAGATTAGTAATACCCATTTAGCCAGCTATAGAATGATTTGCCAAAGACCCTAAAATCAAGACTCTCTGAGCTGAGAAGGCACCAGCAGGCATGGATCTCAGCTACAGGCCCCTTAATGAAGCTACTAATATGCTAATTAGTTTACAATGTATGTAGGGGTCAAAGCATCAAGTCACTCACAAATTTTATAGCTATCATTGGACAACTAAAAATAAATAAAATTTTAGTGAAAGTGGAAGGAAAGTGAGGCAGACAGTTGCCCCATTCCTAATCAGACCAAGCAGACTGGAGCTGTGCCATAGACTTGGAAGCCCGAATTTGCTCATCTGCTATGCCCAGCCGCCCATAAGCAGTTACTGATGACAACTGGACTGAGACAGCCTTGAACCAAGATCACACATTCACCTCTGTACTTGGGCTTTTCCAAAATGTTTCTACTTCCCTAACAAAGAGGGCAACCTCAAAACAGACACCAACTTTTGTGGGGAAAATATCAAACATGCCCCTTTCAGCTGCTTCGGTGAATAAATAGCGAGGTCCACTTTATTTCCTTCTTTACTCCCTCTCCCAAGTAGAGATGAGGGTCCCGAACTTAATGGGAGGAAAAACTCAACTTCAAGTCCAAATGGCTGTTCTCTGAAATTCATATAATCTATAAATTTGCTCTGGATTATTCCAAGAAGTTCCTGTCATCATTGTCCTCTGTATTTTATTCTCCTTTCTCTTCCTGCTTTCCTCCATGCTACTTTCCATAGTTCTTTTGACTGGTCGAAAATACTATTTTATACCTCAAAAATTCTCAAGACAGAAAAAAAAAGCATTTCACGGCATGTCTTGCTCTGCCATCTACCATGTGTGCTGCTTCAGCCTCTTCTGCTTCCACCTGTCCTGACAAGAGAATCAGCACCTCCAGGACTGGCCCACTATCCCAGACAGCTCTGAGCAGGTCTTCCTCCTGTTGAACTTTCTCTGCGTAGCATTCCTCGCTTACCTCTGCTTTTTGTTTGCTTGGTTGTTTTTTATGAGCTACAGAGAAAAGCAAAATTGCTCTTCCTCATGGACATTAAAAAATGTAAAAATGAACATTAATTCTCCCAAAATGGATTAAAGGCCAAAGAAACAAAAGCCTCTGTTTTCTCACACAGATCTGATCTCCTGTGAGATTTTTCTCTTTCACACGTCACTTTTCTAAAGACAACAAAGTAAGCTGACATCAGAGATTTTTTTAAAATACAAGAAGTATAAAGCAGTTCTTATCTATGGCATGCCAGCATTCAGTTCTCTGTGTCTTGGCAATCTCTCTACGAGAGGACTGAGTTTCACGGTGACAAACTACAAAGCTTGTAGTGATCAAAGGCAGAAGCGGCATGTTCATTAAGTTATACCCAGGAAGACTTTTTTAAAATTAAGAAAGAAGGGGGGTCATGAGGTTAAGGGTATTGGTGCCAATTCCCTCAAGTCAAGAAAGCCTTCACATTCTTGAGTATCTAGCTGCCCAGCTGGCCAGGGCCATCACTTTCGCTGCTCCCAATCGTGCCTCTGGCTTGAGGATGAATCATACTTGCTGATCTGAACCTGCTGATGTTGTGCTTCCCCCCACAGGCCGCGTCATGATGTTAGTCACTGAAGAAACTACTCCATCTCTCAGTCAGTAAGTGTTCATGGGGTGGTTGAGGGAGTGAAGAAGGAAACATTGCAGAAAGGAAGGTGGTGGTGGTGGGGGGAACAAGTAGATTCTGACTTCTATTTCATTATGATAAACCCACACCTAACATTTTCACTCTATTGAAAACCATGGAAAAGAAATTATGGTTGTCTCCTGCTTTTAAGTTGAAATAACCAAAAGCTATTAAGTACTATATTATGATAACCAAATATAAGTATCCTTGATTCTACAATTTTATCTTAAATGAAAGTCCAGCTTTTTTTATTATTGTTCTGGGTTGATTTTTCCCCAGTTTTAGAAGATCAAATTAATGGCTTTATAAATCACATCAAATAAGTTTTTACCCAGGCACGTTTCTGCTTTTGAGCAAGTACTTTTCAAATTATGTAGGACAATGGGATCTGGAATCTCCCTAAGAATTAATAGTACTAAACCGACAGATGGCTGCATGAGGGCTGATCAGGGAATCAGGGCTGGAATCCCATCAGCCTGCCTTTCCTAGAACATAGGCTAATGAGGCTACCTGGCTTAATTCCCTGCTGGTTCACAAATTTAATGTTTTGGGAAAAAAAAAAAAAAAGGAAAGGTGGGTATTGAGAATCAAACTCAGGACCTTGCACTTGCCAGGCAGGCACTGTGCCGCTGAGCTATCTTTCCAGCCCTGATATGCCAAATTTGGAAATCGATTCAGAGGTACAGATACAACTATATACATATGCACCTAACTAATCAATCTGATAGTAGTAGAATCAAGTAACATATCACATAGTACAAAAAGAAAAAGCAAAGCTAATCCCCTACTGATGGGTTTGTTGTTAATATTTATCAATATTACCTTTTTCACTGTGTCCTTCAGCTGTTGCACGTTCCTCTGGAGATGTCGGTCATCACCTCTGATGTGCTACAAAACGAAAGCAAGAATAACTCTTTCTGTCAGGCGGAAGCTTTACCGACCTCAGCCTCGTCTGAGGCACCTGACAATTCACCTGGACTAGAAGCTTTCAGTAAGTTCACCCACGATGACCTAGATTTCACCAGTGACCTACATTATCTCGGACACCAAAGTCCACACACTGCAGACAGCGTCTCTTCATCTCTTAGAAACCCTACTGAGGTTCAAGTCTATGGCAAGAATGAAATGGCCTATGAAATGGCAGTCCTGGCAAAAGCAAAACTGTAATCTTACCTCACCAAAAGTGTGTGCACAGAACAAAAAGTGTCTGCAAAGCACAAGGCATTTTAGGTGGAAAGATCCCAACTACCAGGTCCCTTCTCAGCCCTCTCCACTCCCAAATGCCTCATAGCTTCAGTGTTCTGGGGCACCAAGTTCTCACCTGTCCCATGACAAACAAAGGGGAGTAATCCTTGTGCACCTACTGTGACCAGACCTGCCCATCCTCTCCTCCTCTTCCACTGCATTTGCCCTTCTCCCCCCTGCAAATTGGACTCAATGAGTCCACTTCCACATCGAAGATTTTTTCATTATGCCTCCCAGCATCTTTTTCATCATATGCAGGCTGAGTTCTTTCCTTTCCACAAACAAATGAGGTTTTTCTAACACTTGTCTTCCAGACACCCGACACTACTATAGACTTGAGACGGGACTCCATTAGAGCAAAAGCAAAGAGTCAGCCAATCCAAATGGCCCTCATTATGGCCAGCACAGGGGCAGAGAAGGAAGGGTTGAGGGAATGGGCTCCACATGGAAAAAAGAGGGAAGGCTCACAGTGGGTGGCTACAGGCTGCAGGGACTTACACATAGGCTGAGTTTGTTGCTGAGCTCAGCCAGGAAGGGCACCACCTGCCGCATGTAGGGCTGGAATCTGTCTGATTGGGGGAACAACACTTCTTCAAGAGTGAAGTTGAGCACCTGCTTCATCAGATAGCAGTGATTTCTCACCTGCAGGTGAAAGGGAAGCAGCCAAGATCATATTATGGGATATCCAGAAGATCCTTCCCCTTCCAGCTAAGCGGTGCCCCACTCAGCGCAAGGATAGCTTACATTAACTCCTCGGAACAGTTTCTCCCCAATGAGGCGGACATCTGTGTTGTTGTCTTCAAAGCTGGCCTGGAAAAGGGCACAAGACTAAGTGCCTAGACATTGAGGCAAGAGAAGAAGTGTCTAAATGTGCCTTTTCTTCTTCCCACACCAACCCCAGAATAGGTAAAGACAGAATTCAGATGTGTACATAAGTTTATAACACTGCACAGAAGACTAAAGGAAAACAATACTATAATTAAATGGGCCACAGAGTAGCTCCTCTGGATAAATGCAATCTATGTATTCTGTGGGCAGAAATGGAAGAAAGGAGCTCCAGTAAAAATGAGACCCTAAAGAGTCTTTGAAAAAATACAGAAAATTATCCACCTGTGGGTACAAATGTTGGATTCCCTAACAGCTTAGAATAGAAGGCACTAAAGAAAATTTTAAGAACTACTTAGCTCCCAAGTAGATACAATGAGAAAACCAGAGATCGAGATGAATACCTCTTTAGCGAGCCTGAAGGTATAGTTGGTGATATAGGGCTCCTGGAAGTTATCGAGCCTGCAGTGAGAACTGACAGGCACGGCCTCTCCTCCCTGCAGTGACAGGCCAAGAAGCAGGATGCAGCTGGTGGCCAGAGCCCCCAGAAGGGAAGAGCTCACAGATTTCTGCAGAGCAGCCATTGCAGACGACGTGAGGTGAGTGATCGGCACCTGGGAAAGAGAACCTGGTATCAAGACAGCAAGAGACAAAGACAACATTAGTCAAGAAGTTTCAGACCCCGCAGACCAATTGCACTGGTTTTCTGAGATCCTCACCTGTTTTGGGGATTCTGCTTGTGATAGGGAGGTAGATGCTGCTGCTTTTATAGGCCTCGGGACATCAAATCTTTTGTGTTGTGAAATATATGACATCAGCAATTATCTTATTTCCAGTAGTGGCTTCTGAGAACTACCTAACCACCCTCGGAGCCCACAGAACACCACCTCCTAGCTTTCCCACCTTGAGATGCAAGCGTTTCCCTAATACGTCACTATTAGGGCCCAAAGAGAGCTTTGACAAGGAAGTCCCAGAAATTTTCTACACCCTACATATTTTTCGAAGAAAACAATTGCTTTGCTTAGTAGACTCCAGATTGAGTGCACTGTTCTTTGATCTTCTATAGTAACTGAGTAAGCATATGGGTCACGGACTCATTTTCCTACCAGCTTTATAGATTCTTATCTGGTTAGAAGTGACCAGAAATGAGGACTCATGTCATAGAGCCACTGCTTACAAGCGAACATGAGCAATAACCTGGAGAGCATTCCAACATTTTAAATAGTTTTATCTCATCTTTTAAAGTATGCCGAAATCCCCACCTAGATTTGTGTTTTAAAAATAACAGTGTTAGCTAATCTAGTAGCTCTTTTCTTCCCATTCAGAATCTAAATGATCATGAAAGGAATGCTAACTGCCAGTGTAAAATTTTATTTATGGAAGTGCAACCAACGTCAGTTTAAGAGAAATAGAAATACTGCTAGTGAATAAGCTAGTCACCGTTTTTTGTAATATATACTTTTAATAAAAGAATAACATGTATACAGTAATTCATTTTGAAATTTTATCTAAATTAATTATTTTTTATTTTTATTTTTTATTTTTTATTTTTATTTTTTATTTTTGTTTTTGGCAGTCCTGGGGATTGAATTCAGGACCTTGTGCTTGCCAGGGAAGCACTTATTCCATTGAGCCATCTCCCCAGCCTTCTACAGTAATTTTAAGTAGCATACAAATACCAAGACACTAGGCCCAAATAATCTTATAATAACATTTATTGAGCTGGCCAGATAGCTCAGAGGATTAAAACACTTGCTTAGGCAGGTGCATGGGCTGGGGATTCAATCCCCTGGCCTGCCATGCCTGCTTTACCCCTGGGGCACGCTGAGATGGTGATTGAGACTGGGCTTGGTAGCACGCTTCTATAATCCCAGCACTTGGGAAGCTGAAAAACAGGAAAGATCACTATGAGTCCAATCTTTGTAATGAAACCTGTAGACCCTGTATTAAATGCATAAAAATAATAAAATAAAAATAACATTTATTGTATAGATTGACATATAAAGAACAAAATCTGAGAATACAGTGGTTTCACATTCACTTGGCACTATTAAAAATACATTGAGTCCCCATTAATGACTAAAGCTAGACTGAAGTCCTGCCAAGGATTGGGAGCAGAGAGAAAATATAACTATCAAAGTGCTAGCAGCCATTGCTGGGGAAAGGAATGTGTGTGTGTACACGTTAGCTTGATCAGTTTTTTTTTTTTTTCACACAACTAATTAAGATCAGGAGTACTATAGAACTGGAAGATAGGTTTTAAATGATTGCAGGATCCTGAACATGTTAGAGCTGACAAGAACCTGAGAGAGGTCCCTAACCAAAGGTTCAGAACAGTATAAGGAGACTGAGCATGTGAGAAAGAGACCTTTGGAGAAAGGGTGGCAAGAGAAAATAAAACTATAAGATCTCATTGATTTATGGAAGCAAAGTATGTGAAACTTACTGAAGCAGAATACAATGGCGATTTCCAGCAACTGAGGCAGGAGATCAGGGACATACTGGTCGGAGGATACAAAACTTCAATTAGAAGGAAGAGGGCCTGCCAGGTAGCTCAGTGGACTAAAGCTCCTGCTTAGGCAGAGCGAAGTGGTTGGGGTTCGATCCGCTGCGTGCAGTGCTGGCCCCACCCTGGGGGCACGCTGAGATGGCAAATGAGACTGGGCGTGGTGGTGCGCTTGGGAGGATGCAAAACAGGAGGATCAAGAGTCCGATCTGTGTGGTGAGACCCATCTATACATATATATATCTATATATAGATATATATAGATATATATATGTATGTATTACATACATTAAAAATTAGAAGGAAGAATTGTGTGCAAGAAATCTGTTGGCCATAGTTAACAAAAATATATTACGTGTGTAAATTGCTCAAAGCATAAACATTGTGTCCTCTCCACAAAAATATGTCCAGTAAAGGCAGAAAAGCAGATGTTAATTTGGCATATATATGCACAATATAAATATATACATTTATGTTTCAATTAAAAATAAAACAAATAAAACAAATCCCTAAACCTGTTAGAAATGTTAGAAACATGTGCTTAAGTTTGTTCATAATAATCCCAAAAAAGATAAACTCTTACCTGATTTTCTGTTGTATGAATACTTTAATTTTGCCCAAATGCTATAAAACTCTGTATAATAATGTCAATGCCACATTTACATGATTTTGTGAATTAAGTAGGCTTTTGCTGATTTGCCTGAGGAGCTGACCAAGATGCAGAACCTTGCTCCCATGGGAAACACATTTGAACACCCTTGAATTGCACGTCTTTGAGGGGAGCTTCTGTCTCTCTCAGCCTGTCACTCCAGCACTTACAACAGCGGTGCACACAGCGCAAGGGTGCAGCGGGAGCACGCTGAACGACTGAATAGATTTGTGCCTTGAAATTATTTCCTGTCGTTGGACCCAGGGAGGTGATTTGGGGACTCCCTGAATAGTACTTCTAAAGTTGGAGCTTGACCTCATTGTTCTTAGCCATTTCATTAGTGAATAAATAGCTCTGAAATAAAAATAAAACGCCAGAAAATTGCTACACAGTCAGTAACAGCAGCAATATGTCTCTCATCTATTATCTCCCCCAGCGGAGCAACCGTTAATAAGATAGTGCTAAAGGAGCCAAGATCCTAAGCTTTCGTGAGCTTGACTGAATCTCTCTAAATGAAAATCTCTGGAGCTATGTATGGATTCCTGAACAGTTATAGCCAGAGCCTCAAAAAGTATTTGCTGTTAGGAAAAAGAGTATAAAGTATTGCTGCTCCTGTGAAAAGACATCTGGAGAAATGTGTGCTAAATGCATTCTGGGATGAAGGGCCTTTGCATCGCTTCTTTCCTTGTGAATGTTAAGTCCCGTCCTAGCTAATCTGGAGGGGCCGCCACAGCACCGCACTCCCAGACTGGCTGCGCACAAGAAGCTGCCTTGCTGAAAAGCGCAGGCTGATTCTTCACTTTGACCTGTAGCAGTCTAGTGTATTATTAAAAATATAAATAAATAAAAAAATCTTAGCATCTCTGTCTTCATTTTGTGTTTGTCTCCTTTATTGTCTTAATTTGGGATTATATTCTTCCCCAGATTGTTTACTATTTAAGGAAAGTCTTTCTAAAAGCAGGGGACTCCCAGTGAAATTAGCCCTAAACTTACCTTACCTTTCTCATTCCTGTGCAAGACTCAAGACACCAAGATAAGAATAAAAAATGTATTTTCAGGATTTCCAAGGACACATCCAACTGCCAGCTTTTACACCATCCTCTTCCAGAAGCCCCCAGTGTGTCATCTAGAAGTCTCCAGTCATTGCCCTGAAACTTCTGGGAAAAACAGAACCTCACAGGCAGATGACCTCATAACAGGATCGCCCCTGCCTGAGCGGCACAATCGCCCCAAAGTGGGAGTGGAGGCTGCCCCAAAGCAGGAGCACCCACTCACAACAGGAGCAGATTTGCTGCTTCAAGTGACGACAGCAATGAACACCTCCACGGCCACCTTCCACATAACCCGAACTCAAATAATGATCAACAAGCCTACACTCTGACCAAGGCCGCTTACTAAGACGTATTTCTTAACCCATACCCCAATCCTTCCTCCATTTGAACCCACAGCTTAGGTCAGTACTCCTGAAAACAGCTAAGAACACCTGATACCCTGCTGTCTTCGCATTATATCCACATCCGTTAAATTCCATACCTATTTCACCATTAACTTTCCTTGGTTGCAATCTTGGGTAGACGCCAAATCTACATGGTCTGTAACAAAAATCACCAACCAAGGGTAAACATTTGATGTCTCCTTCACTGCAGTACCCCTAGCACCTAAAGATGATGAATAAATATTTATTTTAGGAATGACTGCACTGTTTCTTAATTCCAAGCCTGATGCTTGGAAATCCCAACTGGAATGCATTCTTTAAAATACAAATCTTTATAGGAGAAAGTTGGATTTTTGTACCTTAGGTTACAAGGTCTATATTCATCATTCTCCTCAGGCCAGTATATATGACCATTTTTCTATAGAGGCACGTGTGCGTGTGTGTGTGTGTGTGTGTGTGTGTGTGTGTGTGTGTGTGTGTGTGGTCTTCTTCAGTCCTTTTCCCTCCCCACTAAACATCCACCGCTGTCTCTACCCCTGGCATAGGTCATGCCCCTCCTATGCATATGTTCAACATGTTCAGTATGTATTTCTAAATATAGGTACAATCTTTATAAAACACAAAGTATTATTTAGTGCACTTAAGCCATTATGTTTTATAGATAATGATTCTCTTTCTACATTTCCACTCAGCATGTGGTCTTGTGGTGGTGGGTAGCTGGTTCTAGCTTGGCATTCCAGAGAGTGACCACATTTTATACATTCATTTTCCTTGTGTTAAGCCCCTAAGCTGTCTCCAGTGGCTCACTGTGGTGTTTGAGAATATTTCCAGAATATTTACTCACAAGGTGACACAAGGATTATGGGGATAAGTGTATTAATTTTTTACTGAGTAATTTTTTACTGCTTTCTAAGAAGACACTAGTAATCTACTCTCTCATATAAGTGAACAAAGCTTTCTCTGTTTGCCCACCCACAGATGGAATTATGAAGCT